TCTTCCAGACATTCTGAATTTTCTGAGTCTTTTGATGATGCTTCTGATGATGATGATAATGCCTTAGTTAATCCATCTATTGTTCAAGAATTGTGTGCATGTATTAAGACAGCTGAAAAGAAACCTACATGTGAGAAATGTAATTCCTCAACTGTTCCTTCACTGCTTCCATTTAGTAGGCCTAGTTCTCTGCCTCTTCCTCCTTCCTCATTGTTACGTAGTCCACCCCAACAGATGCACACACATGATATAGCATCACAACTACAATTTAGTATGTTACAACCTTCTATTGTTCCATTGGTTCCTGGGCCTTCTAATTGTCAGTCCCCTCAAGTGCAAACATCACCAGTGTTGGTACAACCAACTGGTCCACCACAACCAGTTTTACCATGTAGTTCATTTTCCTCTGCCATGGTTCATTCTCAGTTATCCTCACAAGTAACATCAGCACAGTTACCTCCACAGCCTCGGTATGCTGTTTCTCAGTATTCACAGCCATTAGGACCATCCTCTAGCTCGGCAATTCCTCATGTAGCCTCAGCTAATGTAGGCCCTCACATGCAATCTGTAGGCCAGGTAGGGAATGATGTTGTACAACCTCCTGCCCCACATATTCAACCAATTGTTCCCACTACCCAGTCAACTGCAATTCCATTCCTTCATCCTTATCCATATTCCCAACCATATTATGCATCATATCCTGTTCCTTCCTATCCTACTTCTCGTGTTCAGGGACCTACCTTTCCTTTCCTGGTTAATGATGATCCCCAAGAATTTGCAATGTTGCAGCTAGCATTGACAAATTTGTTGTCACCCCATGAGCCAGAACATTACAAATTCCATATCTTGTTAGATCATTTAAAATTTTCTCCAGCTCGTGATCTAGCTTTAGCTTATGCTAACGATCCTAGGCCTTACAGTATGGCTCTTTTTGCACTACAGCAGAAATATGGGCAACCTCACCAACTAGTTTTGAGAGAAATCAAAGCCATTCTAGCTCTCCCCAGGGTGAGACCAGGTGACAGCAGAGCATTTAGTAGCTTCGCATTAAAGGTTCGAGCTTTGGTTGGCATGCTCCAATCTTCGGGCCAAGACCAAGTTAAATCTGAATTATCCTGTGCTTCTCATGTACAGCAACTACTCAGTAAACTGCCCACAGAGCATGTGACCAACTTTGCCCGTTATGCCCGTACAATCCTAAAGGGTCAAAGCTACAACCTGATTAGCTTTTCCGCTTGGCTCCAAGAAGAAGCTGAGTGTCAAGCAATGGCTGATCAGGTTAGTGACTTTCCAAAACCATTCCTGAGTAAACCTCAACCAAAGACTTCCATTAACACTCGAACAGTCTTGTACGGAGTTAACAGTAATTCTGTTGTGCCAAGATCCATTAATAAGCAACCCAGAATGTGAGAGATGGAGAATGGAGTTCCAAATATTCATGCGCCTATTGTTCCAGTAGAGATCATTTCATTGGCCTGTGCCCCTCTTTTAAATCTCTAGAAGATACCAGGAAGGATGCATGGATTAGAGAGAACAAAAGATGTTGGAGATGCGGGCTTAACCATCTAGCTGTCAACTGTGACTTGAAGAAACCCTGTCCACAGTGCAAAGGCAGACATCTTGGTATCCTTCATGGAGTTAATTGTCGTGACCAAGATAACGGTACATTCTATCTTAGTCGCCTTGGAGGTTCTGGTAGGGTCTTGCTTAAAGTTGTTGAAGTACTTCTCCATTATAAAGGAAGATCCTTGCAAACCTATGCCATCTTAGATGATGGATCAGAACGTACCATGTTGCTACCTCAAGCATCTGAGTCTTTGGGCCTCAATGGGGTACCTGAGTCCCTAATTGTTAGAACTGTACGTCAAGATACCCTTGCACTTGAAGGTTCTTCTGTAACCTTTGAAATATCTTCCATGACCAATCCAGAAAAGAAGTATTCCATTTCCAATGCCTTTTCTGCTGCTAGATTGGGACTGGCAGAACAGACGTATCCTGTTGAGATCTTGCAGAGACGTTTCAGACATCTTCGAGACTTACCCCTTCCAGCCTTCTCTAATGGCCAACCACTTGTTCTTATCGGTGCAGACTATCCACACCTGATAAATCCCATTGATCAGGTGTATTTCGGGCCTCCTAAATCTCCAGCTGCAATACAGACCAGGTTAGGATGGGTACTTCAAGGTCCAATACCGATTCCTAACACTGATGAGACTCAGTGTCTTTTTACCATCGCTAATCCCCTAGAAGAACTTCGCCATGATGTGGAGAAATTATGGAAAGTAGACATCCTTCCTTTCAGGAATGAGAAAGTCATTACTAGGTCTAAGCAAGATCAGGCAGCTATGGAATTGTTGGCCTCCAAGTCTAAAAAAGTTGATGTGGATGGTGTGAAAAGATATGCCACTCCGTTATTGCGCACTTCTTCCGCCATAAAGCTGCGGACCACACCAAATGCAGTTATGTCTTCTCTCAGATGTATCGAACGACGCCTCCAGAGAAATCCTAAAACTGCTGCTGTGTACAACCAAGAGATTGCTAAGTTGGAGGAATCCGGTTATGTTTCCAAAGTGGAACTTCCCCATGATTCATCTGATGAATCGTGGTATATTCCTCATCATATTGTGGAGCATAACGGAAAAAGGAGAATAGTCTTCAATTGTTCCTATCAATATAAAGGTGTGTCACTTAACAGTCAACTTCTTCCTGGTCCACAGTTGGGCCCTTCCTTACTTGGTGTCCTACTCCGGTTTCGTCAGTGCCCAGTGGCCATTAGTGGGGATATAAAATCCATGTTCCATCAAGTTAGGCTATTACCAGAAGACCGTTCTCTCCTACGCTTCCTGTGGCGCAATATGCAGAGCACAAATCCACCTGACATCTACGAATGGCAAGTTTTGCCCTTTGGCACGGTATGTAGTCCATGTTGCGCAACATATGCTCTACAAAGGCATGTCCATGATCACCAAGAAGGGTATGAAGATATAGCGAGCTCTGTACTTCAGTCATTCTATGTTGACAACTGCTTAGAGAGTTTCCCAAATGTGCAATCTGCTAAGAACTTCTTAGACCGAATGCGTTCTTTACTGATGAGTGGAGGATTTGAAATTAGACAGTGGGCAAGTAACCAGCCTGGTGTTGTCCGACATCTCCCTCCTGAAGCCAGGTCTGAGAATGCTGAACTGTGGATCAATCAAGACAGTTTAGATCCCAAAGAAGGAGCTCTGGGTCTGAGTTGGCACTGTCCCTCTGATTCATTAGGGTATCGATCCCGAACAGTGGAGTATAAGACAACAACCCTGCGTAATATATATAAAGTTCTCGCCAGTCAGTATGACCCATTGGGTTACATAACCCCCTTTACAACGCGAGCTAAAGTCATCATACAACAATGCTGGATGAAGTCCCGGGGCTGGGATGATCCCCTTATGCCAAATCCTATTCAACAGGCCTGGAAGGCTTGGGAAACTGAGCTCCCTGACCTGTCATTAATACAGCTTCCACGTTGTTATCTAAGTTTACCTTCCGACCAAATCACATCCAGAGAGTTGCATATATTTTGCGACGCCTCAGAGAGCGCATACGGGTCTGTAGCCTATTTGCGAATGGGAACTGACAAGGGTGTGGTACATACTTCCTTCATCATGGCAAGATCTCGAGTTGCCCCAAAAAAGCAAATATCCATCCCTCGTCTTGAACTTTGCGCTGCTCTAACAGGTGCACAGCTTTGTAAACTCCTGCAGAATGAATTGACTCATCCTTTGACAAATATTGTCTTATGGTCCGACTCGACAACTGTCTTGTCTTGGCTGCATTCCCTCTCCTGCCGTTACAAAGTTTTTGTAGCTAATAGAGTCACTGAAATATTAGAGCTCACTGACCCCTCTTCTTGGAGATATATTCCATCTGCACAGAATCCAGCAGATGACATTACGAGAGGCAAAACTCTTGTAGAGCTAGCCAAACCTGATCATAGATGGCGACAAGGTCCAACGTTTCTGAAATTTCCTCCAGATGAATGGCCCAAAAATCTAGTATCTACATCTGATAGTCCTGATCCTGAGCTTCGTAAACCACTCTTTTGTGGGTTAACACAATTGGATGATATTGTACTCCCAGATCCTGCCCGTTTTAAATCATGGTCAGAGTTACAGTTTGCAACAAATGTGTTACTGCGACAACATAGTGAGGACTCTTGTGACGCCTCTTCTGTCCAAAATCTCCTTTTGAGACAAGCCCAGCAACAAAGTTTTCCCTCCGAGTATCAGTGTTTAACGAAAGGAAAGCCCATTGAACCTCAAAGTTGTCTCCTAACACTTTCTCCCGAATTCAATGAAGAAACGGGACTTATTGTAGTGGGCGGTAAGCTCAGGCGTGTAGAGGATATGGAACCTGGAATGGTTCATCCAATCGTCCTCGACCCCAAACATCCATTGACCCAGTTAATTATTAAGGACTGTGACGAGAAACTTTTCCATCCTGGTCCAGAGAGAGTTTTCTCAGAACTTCGACGCAATTACTGGATAATTAGAGGGAGACAAGCCGTAAAAAAACATCAGTGGTCTTGTTTTCAATGTAGGAAGTGGAGAGCCAAGCCATCTATTCCTCAAATGTCAGATCTTCCACTCTCCAAGCTCCGGTTGTTCAAACCTCCCTTTTGGTCCACCGGAATGGACTGTTTTGGTCCCTTCCATGTAAATATTGGCCGTAGAACAGAGAAGAGATGGGGCATTCTGTTTAAGTGTCAGACCACTCGATGCCTGCACCTTGATTTGTTGAGCAGTTTAGATGTGGACAGCTTTCTAATGGGCCTACGTCGTTTCATATCCAGGAGAGGTAGGCCGTATGAGATTCTTTGTGATCAGGGAAGCAATTTCCGTGGAGCTGCAAGAGAGTTAAAGGAAGCCTTCCAGAACCTTCCCACTGAGCTACAAGACAAATTGGAAAAGCAGCAGATCAAATTTAAGTTTAATCCACCACAAGCTCCTCATTTTGGGGGTCATGGGAAAGAGAGGTCCGTTCTGTTAAAACAGCATTGCGGGTGGTACTCGGCAGTCAAACCGTATCAGAGGAAGTCCTACGGACCGTTTTGACAGAAGTTGAAGGAGTGTTAAATTCAAAGCCACTTGGTTACGCCTCTTCAAATATTTCAGATCTCGACCCCATTACTCCAAATCTCCTCCTCATGGGGCGGCGAGATTCGTCTTTACCTCAGGTGATTTATGCCAATACTAAGCTCCTTGGCCGCAGATCTTGGCGCCACAGCCAGGCCCTCGTTGACCAGTTTTGGACATCTTTTATCCGACATTACTTACCAGGTCAGCAGCTCCGTCAAAAATGGAATCGAGAAAAACCTCATCTAAATGACTCTGCTGTCGTGTTAGTAATTGATTTTCAACTCCCAAGAGCATCATGGCCCATTGGCAGGGTAGTACGCCTCTTACCTAGTCAGGATGGACGTGTCAGAGTAGCTGAGATTGATATTAATGGAAAGACGTATGTACGTCCAGTTGCTAAGTTGATTCCATTACCTGAAATAGATGAGTAATAGCAAATACATGACTGTATTTGGGGGCGGCTGTTGTGAATTTGATCCTTTAATTATACTTTTTTTTTTTTTTTCTTTCTCCTTACATATTTGCACTTCATATCCCACAATCCTTTTGTCAGTTTCACTACATTACCCATACACCCCCTGGGCAAGGTCTATAAGTAGACCTCACTTCCTCCCTTTTTTCCTTTTGTATTGGTGAGGTGTGGTGGTTGGAATGGACACCCAACCATGTCCTTTCCTTAGGATGCGTTGAGTAAGTTTGTTTTGTCAATTGTTTAAAATATATGTTGTTATGTTACTGATGAATTATATGAGTTTAATTTCCTTTATTGTATTGTTTGTAGTGACTAAAGACCATCTTGTACGTCCTGTTTATCCTGTCCCTCCATTAACATCTGTTCATTGGCATCATGTGTGTCAGCTCCATGTGAATTAAGACTTTATCATCCTGAACTGAAAATAAAAGAGAGCAAAGGACTGGTATTTTTTCCATGTGTTTTAATCAGACACACCATCAAGTTTCTACAACTCCAACGAACTTTGGATACATTTAACATCTGAGATCCAATATAGAAGCATTGAGAACTTTGTAAGTGTACAGACCGTTTAATAAGAAGATACTTTATGAAGACAGTTCACTTCGTGTATACAGACAGGAGCCATACAAATAGTCTCGATAAGTCGATCCCCGAACGCCGTTCATACAGTTCAGAAGTTCGCTGAACTTCATACAGTTCAGATCACTCAGCACGACGTTCGTGGTTTGACTTATCAAGACTATTTTTTAAGATGGCTCCTGTCTGTATACACGAAGTGAACTGTCTTCATAAAGTATCTTCTTATTAAACGGTCTGTAAACTTACAAAGTTCTCAATGCTTCGTTTTGCATGTATGGAGCTTCATTATGTTACTGCGTTAGTGTGGGGCAGTGGGGTAACTTTGTTTTAAAAAGTGGGTGGGACATGTGTATAAATAAATGAATCACGTGACGCGTGAATAAAAACATAAATCCGACTTTAAAACATGTCCAGTGGAATAGCCTATACAGAAAGTCCTGTAAAATTAAACGAATAAATTGACCTAATAATATGAATAAAAATTATAAAAACAAAAATATCCATAAAAGTTTTTAAAGTAAATTAACTATTAAGCCAGAATTTTGATAACTGATTTTTTGCAGAACACACGATTAAAATTTAAATTGGCTTATATCCATTGTACACACAAACTGCTGTACAATTAAACGAATAAATGGGCCTAATAATATAAATAATAATAAAAAAAAGTGTATAAACAAAAATGTAAAAAATAAAATAAAATAAAGGCCTACATAAACATTTTAAAAGTAAATTTAAAAAAAAAATTAACTATTAGGCCAACATTTTGATAACTAAATGTTTGCACAGCGCTCACAAATAAAATAAAATTATGCTTATATCAATTGTAAAATGCTGTAAAATCAAACGAATCAATGGGCCTAATTATATATAAATTAAACTTAAAAAAAGAAAGAAAGAAAGAAAATGAATTGCTTTCCTTATCTACAGTTCTTTTGAGTTCACCTTCAAGAACACAAGTTTGGACAATGTCTGAGGCTTCAGACTCATGCGGTTGTTGCGGAGAAAACCGTCTCTGCCCTTGCAGACCCGCTTGGGATGCTGAACACAATGCGAGCTTCTTTAGCCAGGCGGGGAAAAGAAATGGAGTCAGACTCGTGGTGTGAGCGGAGCGAAATTGGAGCGGGAAATAGGGCGACGCTCAGTCCTTTAAAAAAAATGCCCCTTTGCGCTCTGTCCAAGATCCGCCCGCTCGCGCTCCACTCCGCTCACATGCTCTGCACCGGAACGAACAAATAGTCTCCGAAACGGATTGAAGCGCGCATGTGAAAACTGTGTGTGAGCCACGAGATACACTGTAACCGCGCTACCGATCGCAAGCGGCAAAGAGCACTTTGATCACTTGATTTAAAAAACAACCTATTTCAGGGCTAGATCGCTTCTTTTATTTTACAAACGAACTAAATTAATGGTCTGTCAGTTGGAGATGTTTTATTTATTTCTACTGTTAGATCCGTGCCGCGAGAGCTTTTAAAAGTGGTGGGGACATGTCCCACCCGTCCCACCCGCAAATTACGCCCCTGGTGTGGGGCTATTTTGAGCCTTGTTAGTGGTATAAAATAGCGATTTCTTTTTACTTAGTCAATGCCCCCATTACTAGCATTATACGCTAAACAGTTTTTAGAGATAAAACGCTTTACATTCGATTATCCTGAAAACAAATCTCAGAGAACGGTTAAATATGTACCGATGTTTTATTAGACCAAAGGTTCATTGTTCGCCGGAGTTCTCCTTTAAACATATATCCGCTTGTGTATTTTTTAGGTAATTTAAAACTTTTTTTTGTTTGTTTGTGAACCAACTCCAAGAATATTCCATGTTATGAACTTCAACTGCATGAACCTATAATGTACATTTCATAGTTACCTTGTGTGAGTATAAGTCTGTGTGTGTGGATGTGAATGTGGTTGAGTGTGTGTGTGTGTAAATCTATGACAACAAATGACAAACAGGGAAAAAACAGGGAAAAGATAGATACCTATAACCAACAACAGAACATATAAACAGTGGGCAAGACTATTTAGGTGCATTTAGAATACAATGTGCGTGCGTGGTGCAAGTGGTTTAATGAAAGAATATGAGGAATATAAATTGAATATAAATTGAGCATAAACGGATTGGAAATGTTACATTGCTATTTTCAATAATTAGTAAAGTCAGGGAGTAGTGTCTTTGTCTCTAAACAATTGTCCATCAATATATAATTTATCCACTGTGATGATTGCTTTTTTACCTTGGTTGATCATTGTCTTGCAGATGGGGAAAAGTAGCTTACGTCTGCGGATGATCTCTTGTGGATATTGGTCATTGAGTCCGTAATGAGTCCCTTTGAGCTGTCGTCCTTGTCGCTGAACCAGTACTTTTTGTTTGAAATGTTCAAATTTGGCGATGATGGGGCGGGAACGGGTGGAGTTGACGTGTTTCTGTCCTATACGGTGAACGCGGTGGAAGGTGATGTGCTCCACAGTCTCCGGTGTAAGTTTGAGCTGATTAACCAGGAAGTCCTTAAAGTCCCTGTAAAGTCAATTCCACAAAAAAGTTCTAAACACATTATAAATGTTACATATGTATTGCTAAAACATATTACAAAGTCTGTGAACTGTGAAGTACTGAAATGTGGAGTTAGACCGTTAAACAGTTTTTCACCATTGCAATTTTACGGATTAATTCGGCGGGGCTAAAACAGGGCTCCGTGACGCACTGGAACCCATGAGCTGCTGGACAACCCCCTATTTGATGACACACAGAGTCTGATCTCCCTCTCTCCACACACACTCCCCGAGCACACCGCTCACCGCTCAATCGCTAATGACTGTCAGTACTATTAGTTACTACAGCTGAGCCTACAGTTTTCTAGCTAGCTATGCCTTCGACACGGACATGCATGGGCTACTACCTGGATGCGATCATGTACAAAACAGATCGGTATCTTCGTTTAAATTCCCTTAAAAACGATCACATCAAGAAGAGGTTTTTAGAGAGCCTAACGTTACCTTGATGAAGATCTGATGATCACCGCAAACACCCGCCTCTGTAGTGATCATTTTACACTGGATCGTTTTATAAACTTTCCTCAGAGACAACTTGGATTCACTGATAATTCACTGATAATCCGCCCTTACTGGTGAACGGGGCCGAAACGACGATCTCCCGCCTCAGCTTTCATCCTCCCGTCTCCAAAAGCTAATAAGCTAATATCACTGTCAACAGCTTTCCCGTGAGTGGGCGTGGTTTCAGCACAGCCAGCGGACACGCCCCCAGAGTTTGAGAGCAGAGAATCTGTTCATTTTTTCATGATTTTGATAGCTTATTTTATGTACTTCCCGACTTTTTTTATCATTCAAATTTGGCTGGGTGGCTAATTATACATTTTTCTGTGGTGTGACAAACTCAGAACACATACTTAATTTTGACTTTACAGGGACTTTAACAGATTTTTCGGGGTCTTCGGTGGATGATTCAGGAATGCCGGAGAAGATTAGATTATCTCTCATACTGCGTGATTGTATAGCCAGGATGGTTTCTTGCATGGCTCTGTTCTCGGCGATGACGGAGGTAAGTTGAGTGTTTACAGCTGAAAGGTTTGCAGTGAGTGTGTCCACGGAGCTTTTCAGTAATTTATTTTCTTCTGTGAGTGAATCGACTTGCTGTTGACTATATTCCAGGCTATGGCGGAGGTTTTGGAATTCTTTGTGGAGTACTTCGATTAGTGAAAGTCTAGAGTCCAGGTTAGATAAGCGCTCGTTGATTGATAAAAGTACGTCGGAACAGCAGTTTGTTTTGATCGGAGTGGAAGCTGGTGATGTTGGTGACGGCGAGGGATCGGTTGATAAGGGAGAGTCCGAAGTGCGTGGTTTTTTGGCTTTGCGTGATCGGCCCATTGTAACGTTACAGAGTCTGTTGAAGTGATGGTCAATGTAATCTTCCAGTTGGTCCAGGTCCGAGTTGAAATCCAGGTTTTAAGTAGTGATGTTACGTCTGGCTCCGAAGCTTGCTTCAAACTCGAAAGGTCATTGTAATGAACCACTGCTTCGGAGCTTGTATCATTACGTCACTAGTCACGTGAAAATGACGTCTGAAGCAAACACACTAGGTATGTTCGACATCGCCTGCGGCTGGATGCAACCGATCGGCGAGATTAGCCGCGTGCAGGCGGGGAGGAGTTGCAAACGGAGACGTGAAGTCGGACACTTTCTGGTTCCCGTAGTGACCGCTCACGTGGTGTTTGCATGCTTATACCACAGCTGAAGTGAAATAAATGCAACATTTGCCAAATAAACAGATATTTCAGACACATTTTCATTCAATACTTTACTGCTTCATACAGCATCTGTTTGAACTAGAATAAAGTTCAAAATAAGCCTATAATCAATGACATGGAATCAACGTTTTTTAATCAGTTTTATTTTGATAAACATGATAAACATGACACAATATAACATTGCGACTACATGAAAAGAGTGTTTACTGTTATAAAATACTGATTTGTGAGCTTTAGTGGAACTAAAGGTTTGAGAATAAACATGAAACGCACGTGATCGTTGTCATGCGGTGAATCCGGCAAATCGTGGAACAGCTGTGACATCATCAAAGCTCGTGCAGCCGCTCTTGAGAAGCTGCGCTGGCTGAGTCCTCCGGCTACTCTCGTATCGCTCTCGCGGTACTTTGATGGCATATGTCACAGTCACGTGGAGTCAGCGCTGCATCAAGTCGGACAAAATTTCTAACCGGCATGCACTGTTTCAAGTCAGCCGCCGATCGGTCTGCGCAGAGCTGCATGAAGTCGAACAAGCCTACTGGTTCACTCCGTAGTGAAACGCCTGACTGCTTTGACAGCCCGATCCAGTGTTGACAGGTTTGAAACCTGGCGGCTGTATTTCTCATAAAAGTGAAGCCAAACCATGGCAACACCGTGGGTTAGTAGTAGGACTGGGTGTTTGGATTGGCCTTATTATTGAGAGTGGATTGAGTTTATTTTAGTGTTGTGATGGAGCCATATCGAGAAAGTCGTTCGCAATTTTGGGAACACTTTAAACTTATTTTCCCGAATAAGATTAGTTCTTTGACATTTCTGCATACAAATATTTTTCATATCTAGTGAATGATATGGAGAAAGACAGAAACTGTAAAAACCCTCTGCTACATTATTCAAGTTCAACCAGTTACACAAGCACATCCTTTCAACATACAAAAATATCAGTCCCACCAGTACAGTTACAGAGTTCTGGTGGTTCCCATAGGAAAGAAGCAGTAGCTAATGTCATGGTTTCAATACTCATGGAAAACATGGTTTAAATGGTAAAAGAAAATGGTTCCTTATTGGTATCTTAATTGAAACCATTAGAATTTCTGTGATAGTTTCCAGCTTTTTTTGAGCTGGTCTGATCTTCTGTCTAAAGAAATAATTACACACACTCATCATCATCCTTATTGTTTTATTATCAAGGTGAACACATGAAATTTATCCGTATCTGTAAAATTCACCTACATGAGTTTCACAGCACTAACACTGTTTCAGCTTTGATCGCTTCGGTAAACTCGTCATAAACGGGGCGTTAACACACGCCTACTTGCATTTTATGGTTGTCAGCTTTGTTGCATTACATTTACTTCACCAGGAGATGGTGCTGCCATTTCTATCTGAATGAAGCTTCGAGTAATGAACCATTTTCGACACAATAGTATCAGAAAGCAATAATGCTTCGAAACGCTGCATTTGGCCATCACTAGTTTTAAGCGGGTGATGTTGTAACGGAAAAAGCGAGAGATGAAAAAAAAAAATAAATAAAAAAAAAATATATATATATATATATACAAAGTTTGTCTTTTCTAGCAGTGGCGCGCTGCCATGTTGAATTTTGCACCCAACGCACACAAACACGTCAATACGTCATCCTACGTCATCATCCCAAAAAAAGAAGCTTTTTTTTTTTTTCACTCCAAATGTACAAAAAATGAGCTCAATGTTAAAATTGACCGGAGTTCTCCTTTAATGCCTTTAATCTCCTTTAAAGCTCTTAATTTTGATCTATCAAAGTGCATATGGTTGATGCATTTAACTTTTTTTTTTTTTTTATTATTACAAGGTATAAAATTCTCTTATGGGTGAGCATTTCAACCCATGGGTGAGTGTGTGTGTGTGTGTGTGTGTGTGTCCCCTCCAAAGATTCATTTACACTGTGACTGTGTATCAGATGTAATCCACTCTGTCTGTGTCTGCAAAGATATGTGCCAAAGGTGAGTGCCCATTCAGATGTATGGCCATTGTTCAGAGTGGATTAGCCAGTTAGACTGATTTCCTATGGGAGGTCCTAACAGGTTTCTATTGTTTGTAGCCCTGTCTTTATGTAAAAAGATATGTCTCTCAGACAGAACTTTGTGTTAAGATTGTTGAAGGGCGACATGCTAACATCGCTGCTGGAGGACTGCTACAAACCTTTAATACATTTTTCCCCCACAAGAACTCTGGTCAAGCTTGCTTATTTTATGTATTGGAAAAATCTAATACATTGGCGAGCCAACCAAACCACTGCACTGCTCGGCCAAATACACCAAAATCTAACAGTGTCAAGTATTTTTTTTTTGTATGATAAAACTTCATAATAGTAGTTTAATCTAAAATGTTGCTTCTGTGCATGAAAATGTATGAATGCATACTTATATTTTTGGGCTCATTAATATTACTTGCGCTTGGGGGCGGGCGATATACCGGTAGACAAGATTAACCGGTAAAAATCTTGGGACTAGTTTCTCTAATACTGTTACGTTCATGTGACTCACATTGCTGTGTTGCTGTGTCACGAAAACATAGCGTTTGCATGCGTTTTTAAGCATTGTTGTTTAAAAAATGGGGATTTTAAACGGTTGAAGGGCAATAGGCAGCAAAGCCAAAATCATTTCATTAAGACTGTCGACAGTTTTTTTTTCACCTTATCATTTGATCATATCCATTTATATGGTAGGTGTAATTATCTGTGCTGTGCTCTCCACTCAGGACTGGGAGGATGATGTCAGACGTTTTAAATGGATCTTCCGTCATCCTAGTGACACAAAGCTTGTGGTTCTTATAGGAAATCATGACATCGGCTTCCATAACGAGTGAGTTTAAGGGTTATAATTGACCTACAGAGGCAATGTGTAGTTTTCACTCACCTATATTGTCTATTTAGAGTCAATGTTTTCACTGTATACTATTTCATTAAGGATTGCAGTAAATTCAAAAATATTTAAAAAATAACCACTTTTTTATCAAATCGCGTAGTCCTACTGTGAAATGATGTTAACTTGACTTTAACATTATCTTTTTTGAGAAATTTGAATACATTTTGACTCAAGAATGTTGATTTGAAAATTAAATGTTTATTGTAGCATGCTGTCAGCATCATCTCAGATTAGTATTTAGCAGTAAGACTGACAGGGTGTTTGAAAAAGGCCACTTCCAATCCTTTTTTGAAAATACTATTGTGTGGTACGAAGCTTTGAAACATCTTTGACAGATTTTGCAATTATTGCAATTTACCCCTATTTGGGGAAACATTATCTTTACGCCAGGGACACATTGATGCTGGTTTTAAAATCTGGGCATCAAAAGGTTTAAAGGTGCCAGATTTATTAAGAAATTAAACTATGCTCAGTTTTTTCAGGAATTAATAACTGCAGGGGAAAAAATGCAGAGAATATAACAGAAGGTGAATTGCAGAGTATCTGGTAACAGACCCAAACCCAGACAATTAATACCTGGTTTAAACTTACAAGTTTATGAGAGTATACATAACTCCAGAATGACTACAATGTAAGCCCAACATTCCCAATCAATGTATAAAATGCAACCTAGAGATATGAACTTTATATCATTGCTTAAGGAAGTGTCCCCAAGTTCAACTTTTTTGGGAAAAGGGTTTTAGATTTTTTATCACTGGTGGTGAAACATAATGTCCCAAATGTCCTGAACTTTGTAAATTAAATATTTTTCCTGTAACTTGCACTTTACCTTACTCTGGTAAGAATATGTTGATTACAAGCAGAACTTCATTGTCGAATGTCTTTGGAAAAACTCTGATAGCTCTAATTTATCTAATATATTGTTAAGGGAAAATCTGAACAAAATTATTATTATTATTATTATTTTTTTGTGTAACCTGGAACATACTTTTCTAAGCATGCACCACGTCATGATATTAATGTACCATTGTTTTGACATATGTATACAGTATAATTGTTGTTGTTTTCTTTTTTTTCCTGTTTAATGTTTTGTTGTTAATGTTTCTAAAATCAAAAAAGACTGACAGGATGTAGAAGGTCATTTTATATTCAAGCCATTTTCAGAAGGTGCCTGATTTATATAGGTGTGGTTCCTTTATTGTCTTTCTCTTACTTTGGCAGAATGACTAAGCAGAAGTTGGAGCGGTTTGAGCAAGTATTTAATGTCACATCAGCAAGGATCCTCACCATTAGAGGAGTCAAGTAAGTTTCTAAGCATTTTCATCAATTCCTCCACCAAGATTTATAATTTTGTCTCTGTATTACTTGTTTATTTTCACAGTTTCTTGCTGGTGAATAGTGTTGCTCTACATGGTGATCACTGCCCCATCTGCCAACGTGTAGAGGAGGAGCTATACAAACTCTCACATGCTCTTAATTGCTCTTTTCAGGTAATAAAGATTCTAGATATAATAGTTTCATCAGTAACTATAATTGTTGAATTTCTCTTCCTTAATATAACCAGCTGTTTTCTTTCTTTCTTTTTTTTGATGCATTAATGCTAATTCTGCATTCTGTGATTGGTTACATTTATTTTCTAGAATGCACACTTGTTTGTTTTAAACCCAGGGGGTTGCAAACCCCTTGGGGGTTGGCCTGTCGAGATAATTAAATAACCGTCTGGTCTTGATTATTTGATCTAACAGTGATTGTTTCAGACAACTGCGATTATTGCGCTCTTTTATAGGCATACGGAACAAGGGGTAGTCATGGACCGAAAGTAATAGACAAGCACTAATTATGTTTTCCAGCAATATATTCAAAGTCATCTGAAGCCATTCTATAGCTTAATGTGAGGGACAGAATTCTATTTACATCATTAAATTAAAGTTCACGGAGACTCCTTGTCTTCCCTCCACTGTGGCTTTTAATCATTCTCTATTCAACATGACATCATGACTTTTGCGTAAACATACACGGCACTTTTCGAGTCAAGTGGCGTGTTATCTCTACGCATTTTGAGCTATCCTCGTGTATCCACAGTATTCAAACAGCGCCTCGTCCGGTTACGGTAGGATGCACGATAAAACTCTCTCCAATATGATATATTCATATTATAATGCTTGATCTGTAGATAAAGGACTGTGGATTTGCATAAAATTACTTTATTTTACTGGAGTTTATTGCTGTTTTTAAATGACTCGCTACCGTGTGCCTGTTAGATCACACACATCACAAGGACAGTGAATTGGCATCAAACGCACAATAACTGGAATTTAAAACTGTGCAGAAACAAATGATCAATAAACTGTTGGACAGATATTCACTAGGATTTGTGCACTCGAGATTTCTTCGCTTTGTGCCATGAACTTTTAAATGCTCACTTTTGCAGTGCTGCACACTGTGACTCCATGTTACTTTAAACACCTAATTTTGCACTTTGCATACGCACTTTGTGCCGCTCTGTTTTGAAGTTTTTCATATTATCATGGTTTTGCACACTGAAAGATTAGAAGCCTATATTTTTGGTTGTATCTATCTATGACTAAGCTACTGAAAAAAATGCTTCCAGAGATCATAGATCCTCTTCTTAATATCAATTCATCTTTGTCATTAGGATACAGAGTAAACGCGTCTGGTCCAGTGAGCTTGCGCTGCCGTGGATTTTGAGCCAAGCGGATAAATAGTCCGTGAGGCGCATGCGGTTCAAATGAGTTTCGTTCCGCTTTTGGCACATAAACATCATCGAACATTTATCGAACTCGATATTGATATCGAGTATTGACTCGATATTGATATCGAGTATTGACAATATTGACTCGAACTTGATATCGTTTTATCAAGAAAAATTATATCGCGATAATGAATGAATGAGAGTATCAATTTAAGACGAGGCTAAATGTAATTTATGTACCTGTGTGGAAAATCCGAAAGTTTTTATGACTTTATGGCCTAAAATTCTTATTATTAAAGTTAATGACTTAACATACATTATGAGTTTTTCCCCCTGAAATTTAGAAATCTACATTGGTGAATTTAGAAGAAATCTGCAGATGCAAAACAGATGGAGGATAGTAGGTTTAAAACAAACTCCATCTAAATGTGGGTTTTGAAGGTTTTATTTGATGATGATCATACAGTCCTCCCTCAAATTTGAAACTAAGTCAGGTGTATCAAATATGTACTTGATTGAAACTAGTAGCATAGAAAACATGAAGAGTTCAGATGCAAAAGCCTCTAAATGCCATTTGAAATTTTCTTCTAGAATGGTCATTTTTATCAAGCTTGTATATTTAAGTTCAGTAATTTCACTTAAATGGCAATTAATAGGTAATCTTCATTGCCATTTAAGTGAAATTACTGAACTTAAATATACAAGCTTGATAAAAAGGATCATTTTAGAAGAAAATTTCAAATGGCACTTAGAGGCTTTTGCATCTGAACTCTTCACATGCACATTGTGGCATGATTTTCGTTTAGTGCTCTATAAACCTTTAAATACTCAGGAGACCATGGTTTCTGTGTGAACTGACTATTTTGTAGACATCTTTTGAAAACAAAACAATTGTGAGTTTGAGGAAGATAAAATTAACTTTTTTTAAGTCAGAGTTGTGTTAGTATATATATATATATATATATATATTTTTTTTTTTTTGTTTTGTTTTTGTTTGTTTGTTTAAAAGAAGTTTTAAAAAAGTAAAGCAAAGGACTACAACAAACGGCTGGTAGGGACTACACAACATTCCTCCCGGGTTAGTGACATCACCAACCCTAAAATGTACATAATCCCTGCGCTGGGGAACACGCAATCCATGTTTAGAAGAGTAAGAGTGGTTGTGTAAGAGTCCATTTGTGAGTCAGCTCATACTTTAGCATCCATCTTTTCACATGCAATAGAAAGTCACTCTATGTGCATCTCACAACAGTTCCTATATGAGCGATTTATAGATTACATGACAGAATATCCTAATTGAAGATCATTTTTTTATCATTTTAGTGTGTCTGCGTGAGGTAATCACAGCTGCTAACACACACAGGAGCTCTTGAAACACCGCCCTCTGCTGCAGCTCATTTGCATTTAAAGGAACACTCCGACTTTTTGGGACTTTAGCCTATTCACCTTATCCCCCAGAGTTAGATTTCCATACATACCTTTTTCATCTCCGTGCGTGCTATAAGTCTGTTTGACGCACGCACCGCTAGCCTAGCTTAGCACAAAGACTGGATGTGAATGGTTGCAGCTTTCATACTAATCCAAATGTGTGACAAAATAACGCAAACATTTTCCTATTTACACGTTGTGATTTGTATAGTCACAGACTGTACAAATAACAGAGTCAAATGAGACACAGATATCTTTTAAACGTAATAAAACCTGGGAACTATTCTCTGAAGGCGAAGCACTGCTACTTTGACGGAGTGATAACCGCATCACCGGAGACACGCCGTGGTGAGGAGCGGAGAGTTCGTCAGAGTTTGGGTAACAGAGTCAGCAATTTATAAATAGTAAAAGCGTAGTTTACAGTTATGGGTTTTCGCTCTATTGTAAATAGCTGCGACAGTAAACAGGGGAGGTAATACCATGTTTCACAGAATTCCAACTAAAAACGCTGACTGGATGAAGAAATGGCTAACTTACTTACTCTGGATATTGATCCAAACACACCTAAATAGATTATCAAGGGACATTATGTTTGCTCGGTACATTTCAATGAGGACGATTATTTAGAAAAAAATGGAATTTGCCACACGGACCATAATGTGCTGAAGGATTCGGCCAGCACAGACAGGACAAGTGGATCACCTGTGGCTGAGGTAAGTGTTATGTTTTTAGATGACCTACTGTAACAGTGCCATTAGCCAGATCTGATGTAACGTAAGTGACACTATTATATGATTAGGGTATGAATATGTTTTTATCTTGATGCGGCGCGGACGCGCTTGGAAAAAAACGAGCGCGTTGAATTTAAATTTGAAACTAAATTTGAAATAACCATGGAAATAACGAACTTGAGCGTGCAAAAGGGTACGATAGGCTGTGAGTTCATTGGGCAAAAACAATTTGTGCTATTACTTTCCCCTTATTCTGTCCTATAGTAATGCAATTATATTGTATATTATATGCTGTTGAATACATTTGGTTCAGCTAATAAATTGCATTTAAAATATATTGATTCCTGTAATAATAATTATTTATTCATGTTCTGTGATATTTATAAATCTGGATGCGTTTTTGGTTGGAATTCAATGAAACATGACATGGTACTGTATTACCTGGTCTCCCCTGTTTATTGTCACAGCTCAAACAATAAAGCAAACACCCATGATAAACTATGCTTTTCTAACGTTAGTAATTGCTGACTCTTTACTCCAACACTGAGCGAATTCTCTGCTCCTCATCACGGTGCGTCTCAGGTGATGGTTATCACTCTGCCCAAGTAGCAGTGCTTCGCCTGCAGAAAATATAGTAGGCTATTTATACGGTTAAAAGATGTCTGTATCTCATATGGCCTTGATATTTGTACAGTCTGTGACTATACAAACCACAACATGTAAATAGGAAAACGTTATTTTGTCACTCATTTGGATTAGTATGAAAGCTGCAACCATTCACATCCAGTCTTTGAGCTAAGCTAGGCTAGCGGTGCGTGCGTTAAACAGACTTATAGCACGCACGGAGATGAAAAAGGTATGTATGGACTTATCTAACTCTGGGGGATAAGGTGAATAGGCTAAAGTCCCAAAAAGTCGGAGTGTTCCTTTAAAGGGCCACGAAACGGTGTGCTCAAAACTCTCAAAAAGTTGACAACTTTAACATGCTATATAAAAATATGTGGGGTATTTTGTGCTAAAACCTCACACACACTCTGGGGACATCAGAGATTTATTTTACAACTTGTAAAAATAGCATTTTACCACCCCTTTAAAATGCCTTGTGAATTTCTATTAAAAGAAAAAACGTACAAGTTCTAAAAAAATAAGAGTGACACACCCCTAATTGTTAAGAGTTGCTCCTAAATTTCCATATTTGGATAAACTTTTAGCCTTTTTTTTTTGTGAATATGTTATGGATATGTGAAAATGTTGTGATGCAGATGTTGACTGATTCTATTGCGGGTGTTCTTGTGTACTTTTAACTCTGTTAGGGTGCACAACATAATGGCCAGTGCAGGGACACTGAGAATTTTGCCCCAACAGCGCCTGTTCTACTACAGGTGAGATGGTGTGCATTTTTCTGTATATATCATAACTAAAATTTATTTTTATTATTCACATGTAGTTGTAGCAAGGTGTAGTATTTTATGGTATTTCTTGTATTTTAAGTGTATTTCTTCAGAAATTGCAGTATTATTTTCTTCACTGTAATAATACATTGATGTTTCCTAGCATTACCCACTGTATAGAGTGAGTGATGCCATGTGTACAGGTGTAGACGCAGCCCCTCTGGATGAACGGTACCAGCTGTTTCAGGAACGTTATGATGTTATATCTAAGAATGCCTCAAAAAAGGTAAAAAAAACAAGATGCTCAGTAAACACAATTTTAAGCAGTGTTGGGTGTGTAATGTGTTGCAATGTGGTGTTACAATTAGTTAAACAAAACAATTAGTTACTTTTTTATTGAAAGTAATGCACTAAATTTGCATTACTTTCTCACCTTAGCTAGCTGTGGCTTGTTGAAGACTATATCAGCCCGTAATTAAATAAAGTTGTCACTCCTGAAACTTTGTAGTATACATACATAGCTGTTGGTCTTCTCAGCGGCATGAAAAACAAAACTTTTAATGAAATTGTGAATGGAATATATACAGCAAAAAATGCTTGGCTGTCAACTGCAAAAAATAGTTATCAAAGAAACAGACTACACTGCACAGTGAATATCTTATTTACTGCGTTTACACTTTGTCATAATTAGAACATTTGTGAGCGTGTAGAACTTGGTCAGTGGGCCGGATATGTTGACACGGGACGTTAAACAGATTAGCTACTTTTAATCGAGGGGTGCTGTACTCTCCTCAGTCTTTACCCTCCAACAAGCTTTCCAAAATCATGTTTTATCTGATTGTTTGACATCTATACAATTTCTGTGATTTAAGATGCACATGTTTATATCAAACCATGTGGAAACGAATAGTCACTTCTGAGGAAAAGCTGCATTTGACAAAGTCTTTGAGGTTAATGGCATAAACTCTTTCAAAGATATTCAGATGTATGTCTTCTTGACCAGAATAAGCCAAAAACATTACTGTAGGTGGACATCAGAATAAGACTTTTAAAAATTTGGGGTGTATTTGCTGCCTTTTGCCGCTAAGAGGTGCTACAATCACAGACTTTGAAAAGTGTCCGTTAATTCTCTCTATTGCGTAATCAGCAGCCGTGCCGCGGCTCATTCAGAGCGATTGAAAGCTGGTAGCAGATTAATTCAAGTGAAACGTGGTTAAATTAATTAATAATCACAATACTGAAATTAAATTGAATAAATAATGAAAATTAAAACATTGCATTAGAAACATATTAGGCTACATCAATGAGGCTTTACAAGCGCATAAGACGATGATGCAACAGCATTCTAACGGTAGCTCTGTGGTTAACGCAACAACATTAACCTCATGGAACTTCAAACGACCCGAGATCGAACCTCATTATAGCATACATGCTGTTAACCGATGTTGGCCGACAGCTTTAATGTTTCACCGTTCTTGAGGCTTAAATAGGTAACTGTTTATTAACGAGTTTATTAACTGTTTATTTATTTAAAGTGTCAGTTTATTCTTTGTATGACAAAGTCTGCCACAGCTCATTGAGAGCTGAGGTCGCTGATAAATTTAAACATTGTAGTTAAACAAATTCATAATCACAATACTGAAAAAAAGTGAATGCAAATAAAATAAATGTGAAGTAAAAATAGGCTTCTATTATTGCATCAAATTTAAGCAAAGTAGGCACACTTAAACATAAGGCTATGTGCCCAGTTTTTCTATAATTTAGAAAGGCTATGTCAATAGGTTATTTGTCTTTTACTTTGTGTTATTTTAATTTGTTAGTAGATTTATTAACTGAAACATAAGTGTAATAAATTAAACCAAATTATCATAAAATTAAAACATTTTCAGGGGACACTGTAAAAAATTTGGAGTAGGATTTACTTGAAAAAACCTTGCTAAACGATCTCACTCAGAAAATGCTAGTAAATTTACAAAGATTTGCCAAGTAAAAACCTAAACATATTTATCAGTAGCTTTAATTAGAAATCTTTAAGTTAAATTTACTTGGAATGTGGAATTAAGTAAACTTTACAAAAAATAAGTAATTTTAACTCGGCTTGTAAAAGGTTGATTAATACCGATTTCCTTTGCCTTTGCATTACACTTCACTAAAACAATTATCTTGAATTTTATTAGTCATTTATAGTATGTTCTTTACTTGGATCATCCAAGTAATTTATATATACATCATGTCAGACTTTAAGCCTTATGTGAATGCAAACACCTCAATACTTGATAGACAATACACAATGGTGGTAACATTTGATGGATCGTTTTTGTGTTTGAATGTGTCGTTTTAAGCAAAAAATTTACTCGAAATGTCACAAAATGGCAATTTACTAATACTGAAAACAAAAATCAATGATAAAACAGTGTAAATACAGCTGGAAACCAGTGAAAAATGAACCTCATTAATTATTCAAGGTCCAGTGCATGATGGGAACCCCAGTATCAGAAAAGTTGAGTAATTTTTACTTAATTTTATTGAGTTGATATTACACTTTCATTTATACTCGCTTGAAATAAGTACTGATATGGAATTTACTTCGTTTTTTAAATTCTTGCCTGAACTAACTTTTTCAAGTAAATTACATTGGGTTTTTTCACTAGTATTTACTTAACCAAAAAAATATTTTTTTACAGTGGAGTTACTAAACTTTCCTATATATGGCATATATATCACTTGGCAGCATTTATGTTTAAGCATTCTTTGTTTTCAAGCATTCATTCTTTAAGAATTAAATAGGCTTACAGGTTATGATTATCAATTAATTTCTTTTAATAAATATTGAAAACATTTCAACAAAACATGTTTTAGTTGGTAGTCAACCAAAAGGCTTATTGCCGCGGCAAAAATAAAGTCGTTCGGTACATTGTCGAAGGGTCATTGTGCAAAACAGCAGCAATTGCTGCATTGCAGCTTAGGTAAGTTCAGTGTTGATTCATTTCTGTTGTAAAAAAGTTGTTTCATTTAATTAATCTATATCGCCATTCTGATGTCTTCGTCCAGCTCAGTTCAGTTCTCATAAAATGGTGTTATTAGCCGCGTTTCCATTACCCTTTAAATTATAACTTTCCTAATAAAGGCGGAAAGTTTTTAAAATCAAAAAACGTATGATTTTTTTAAGTCATAAACAAAAATCTGAAAATTGGTCGATATTTAGGGCCCAAGCCCTGAAAGGGCGCAGAGCCCGATTTCTTTCCTTCCGATTATTAGGGCCCAAGCCCTGAAAGGGCGAAGGCCCTATTGTTTTCCTTGGGATTATTAGGGCCCAAGCCCTGAAAGGGCGAAGGCCCTATTGTTTTCCTTCCGATTATTTTATTAGGGCCCAAGCTCTGAAAGGGCGAAGGCCCTATTGTTTTCCTTAGGATTCTTATTAGGGCCCAAGCCCTGAAAGGGCGAAGGCCCTATTGTTTTCCTTCCGATTATCAGGGCCCAAGCCCTGAAAGGGCGAAGGCCCTATTGTTTTCCTTCCGATTATTATTTTTAGGGCCCAAGCCCTGAAAGGGCGAAGGCCCTATTGTTTTCCTTCCGATTATTAGGGCCCAAGCCCTGAAAGGGCGAAGGCCCTATTGTTTTCCTTAGGATTATTAGGGCCCAAGCCCTGAAAGGGCGAAGGCCCTATTGTTTTCCTTAGGGTTATTAGGGCCCAAGCCCTGAAAGGGCGAAGGTAAGTGTTCCGTTATGTTTTTAGATGACCTACTGTAACAGTGCCATTAGCCAGATGTAACGTTAGTGACACTATTATATGATTAGGGTATGAATATGTTTTTATCTTGATGCGGTGCGGACGCGCTTGGAAAAAAACGAGCGCGTTCACCGCGTTGAACTTGCACCCTGCGCGCGACGCGCCTAGTAGCCTAAATTTGAAATAACCATGGAAATAACGAACTTGAGCGTGCAAAAGGGTACGATAGGCTGTGAGTTCATTGTGCAAAAACAATTTGTGCTATTACTTTCCCCCTATTCTATCCTATAGTAATGCAACTATACTGTATATTATATACTGTTGAATACATTTGGTTCAGCTAATAAATTGCATTTAAAATATATTGATTTCTGTAATAATAATTATTTATTCATGTTCTGTGATATTTATAAATCTGGATGCGTTTTTGGTTGGAATTCAATGAAACATGGTACTGTATTACCTGGTCTCCCCTGTTTATTGTCACAGCTCATACAATAAAGCAAACACCCATGATAAACCATGCTTTTCTATCTAACGTTAGTAATTGATGACTCTTTACTCCAACACTGAGCGAACTCTCTGCTCCTCGTCATGGTGCGTCTCAGGTGATGGTTATCACTCTGCCCAAGTAGCAGTGCTTCGCCTTCAGAAAATATAGTATTTATACGGTTAAAAGATGTCTGTGTCTCATATGGTCTTGATATTTGTACAGCCTGTGACTATACAAACCACAACATGTAAATAGAAAAACGTTTGCGTTATTTTGTCACTCATTTGGATTAATATGAAAGCTGCAACCATTCACATCCAGTCTTTGTGCTAAGCTAGGCTAGCGGTGGGTGCGTCAAACAGACTTATAGCACACACGGAGATGAAAAAGGTATGTATGGACTTATCTAACTCTGGGGGGTAAGGTGAATAGGCTAAAGTCCCAAAAAGTCGGAGTGTTCCTTTAACATGCTCGAAACTTTGCACACGTTTAGAACCCGCGGCCATCAGAGCCGGGCTGAAGCTGGTACCCGGGCGTGGCAGGGCGGCTCGTCAGCGCCCCCTGGAACGGGGTCCGAACACTTGGTCCATAACTCAAACACGCTTGCATGTAATAATATGAAACTCGGTACACATGAAGATCTCATCGTTTCATCTATCCACAAGTTACCGAGGGGCGCTCCTGTAAAAAATAAAGTGGGTGAAACTTCCGGTGACGCGGCGGAAGTAGCATTCCAATGGTATTTTGTGTGTTAGTTAGCGAAGAGGCTAGCTGTTTTTCTGAGAATTATTTTACTATTTAAAGACGCAAATCTTTATGAGAGATGTCGTTACGGAGCTCAGGGACAACATGTGCTGTTCGCGGTTGTATGTATAACCGGACTAAACTAATTCAGTGGCTTAAACGTGATTGTTTTGAACATAAGCTGAAAACGAAATCAGAGTGATCCTGCCAGAGCCCGTCTCTGATCCTGCCAACGACTGTAGTTTCCATCACCTCCCAAAAGACGACGAATCTAACCTGTTTACATTTGTTTAAATTCTTAATGTTCTATAAACTCTAT